CTATCAGTAGGTGTAAAATTCATGTAGGTGCTTATCCTGCCAATATGTCTTCTGGGTACCACCATTTAGAAAGCAAAATGGCATGTTTTTAATTTGCCCTTGCAGTTTTCCTGCAGATGTACATGTGTTGTGTAGTTAGTACTTGCCCTCCACCCTCTGATCAGAGCTAGAGTAGCTGGCCAGAATGCTGTTTAGCCAGAATAATTTTTGTAAGAGGCACAGTAAGAGAGCTCTGGAACAAAGGCTGATTAATTTTCCCCTTCCCCCAAGTAGCTGCACTGTGTGCTGTCTTTAAGTGGTTGCTATAAATAAATCACTTCTGTTTTCCTTTTGTCATTGAGAGCTGTATTGTATTCTGAAACTGCTCATCTATTCTTCCTTTAATGTTCGTCTGCTTCTTGCTATACTCCCCGTGCTTAATACGCAGATGTTGTATTTGCCATTAAATATCTTATTACATGTGTTTGGTTGTGCCAAGTGAATTGCACACTTGAACACTGACTAAAATAAATGAAACGTCTGCAGCAGTGTCATTGTTTCTGGTGCCTGTCCCCAGGATTCCTCTGGCACTTTACCCTGCAGGTGAGTCAGATGGGAGCACAAGTGTCTCTGTAGTCGTGGTGCTCATCGGTACCAAGGCTGTCACGAAGCCAATGCATATTTCAGGGCTCTTTCCATGGTTTTGCAATGTTTTAAAAAATCGGTTAGAATTTCAGTTGCTAGTGGCTGGCTCACAACATGATCGGTTTCTATGAGGGGAAGAGTGTCTGTAGTTTGGTCTGTGAGGGTTTTCTTGTTCATTCTTATGGATAGTAGCAGAGGCTGATTTAATCTTCTTTTATAAAATTTGAAAAGGTTTCAGTCTGGGGAAAATTTGGTTTTTCCTCACTTGGATGCACATTTCCTTTCAGATGTCCTGGCCATTAAAGTCTTGGTAAGTGCAAGTTGTAGTTTGGCTGTTACGGGAAAGTTTCCAAACATTCTCCTCTTCTGTTAAAAAGTAAAGGGCAAAGCTTCCTCTGAAGCACTGCACAGTGATGCTTACCACTGCTGAATTTGAAAGCTGTACTAACAATTCAGCAGAGGTGGCCTCACTGCCTTTATAACACAATTTCAACTGTGTCACTGCTGTATTTGAACTATGACAGAAGTCTGGATGAGGGCTATGGCAGACAACCTTTCCCTCCGAGTATTGTAGTCTCTTTCCAATTTTTTAATGAAGAAGAGTGTGTTTGAGCTCAACAAAATGTCTGGTAGCTTTCTAAAATTGCTATCAAACAAAATTCCAGGTGCCCGTTTGGATTTAGGATACTTGTAAAATGCCCCAGCATCTGCCCTGTGAATCCCTGGGGTGTGTTTTCTTAGCAGGCAAAGCTTTCCTTGACCATAAGAGGTGGAGACTTTGGCATGAAAAACCCAAAAGGTCTGAAAAAAAACCACAACCACCTGTTTTTTTCTCCTTGATACCGTGGTGGGACGACCAGAGTGTCATTGCTCCCCTCTGCTCACAAGGTAGTTAGTAGCAGAGGGATGTACTTTGGGTAGTGTCAATACAAATATTACTACTTGGGCTGCTCGGCCTCTTCAGAAAAGTGAGTTGAAATTAGTGTAGTGAATCTGATCCAGCTGGATGCAAATGCTCTGCTTTACCCTGAGGAAAGGGAGGTGCTGGGCCTCTGAGGTGCAGCAGCGTGCATGTCCACCTTGGCTGGTTGGCCATCAGCAGATCCTTTGCCCGTGTCCTGCCGCTTTGTGCATCGTGGGCTGCAGTTCCAGCTGGCAGTCTTTCCGCATGTGTCTAGCTGAGAGTCTGCAGGATTTTTGGTGAGCTTCACCTTGTGTTGGGCATGACTGCCTTGGGCAAATCCAGGCTTAACCCTTGTTGAATGCTGTCTGTAGGACCCCTCTTTGAGAATTCTACTTGGCTGGGTCCCAGACTTCAGATTGCAGCCTGATGCCATCAGAGCAGGTGGGATGAGTAAGAAGCTAGAGCAAAGTGACTTGAGTTTCTCTGCCTGTTTGTGGGCAGTGATTCAAAGTGCTGTCTGTAGGCGTGGGTGTTGGATACTTGGTTTTTGCACCTCTTCTGGCAGGGTAGGCTGGGTAGGATATGCATGTTCCTAGAACTGAATATTCAAAGACCTTGGTCAGATGAAAGCCTCCCTCTTGGAAGTCACACTCCATGACACATAGACATAGTTTTTATTTGCTGGCTGGATATGTCCCTCATTTAGATAGATGAACTATCTCAGAACTTTGTTGCTGGAGGCACTAGTTACAGGTTATCTTCTTGATAATGATGGGCTGTAAGGAACCACTCAGGTAGCTGTGGTGATTGATATGGGGTGGTATGTCGTATTATCATACTTCTATTTTTAAATGTCGATATGCTTCTGTTCTTGGGGGTGTTGCCACCATTCAGAGTGCTTTCAGCAGCCCTCCTGGGCTTTGTGGAAGTGGCTTACTTGGCTTCTCATGGAAGTGGTCTATAGCCTGTGAGCTGATCAGCAGAATGTAGCATCTGTGACAAGCAGCTGCTGCCGCCCCTGGATTCAACTTGACATGATGAGGGACCACCTCACCCCTAAAACATTGACTTTGGGAACATTTCTGTAGTATTGCCCTTGAGATAGGCCAGGCTCTTAAACTCTGTGGACCATAGCAAAGAGAATAGCAACTGCAAGTTCGACCCTGCAGCTTTTTATGAAAAGCTGTCTGACATATTTTGTAAAGATAGAGGGAGAAAATATGTTGGTACAGTCATTTTTCTGCTTCTGTGAGTCAGCTTGTTCTAATGGGTTTTGAAGTGGATAGCTCATCATCATTTGGGGTTTTTAAGTGCAGGTTGTATGCAGTGTTAGCTCACTCAAATTTCTGCTGTGCCATGATTGACTGGCCTAAAGTTACATCATCAAAACAGGATGATAGTCAGCCTTAAAATAACAAGAAAACATGCCTTTTAATGCTAATTACCCATCAAAAAGCAGTGGTTTGAGGTTTTTTTTGTTTTACAGCTTTGTAAGGCTGGCTTTCTCTCATCTCTGCAAGAACATATTTTAGTTGATTGAATCAATGCATCAGTGAGCAACATGTGGCACTTGGGCTACCTGCAGCACAGGAGTAGTTAGTGTGGCTCCCATGCTGAGGCTGGGCAGTGTGACCTGGAGCATGGCCTGCACTGGCCTGAGGCTTGTAGGTAATCCAAATAATCCAAGCAAGTGGGAAGAAGCAAATTGGCAGAGGCTGGTGTGGCTGGTACCCCCTGACACTCAGCTGGATCCCAAGCCTGTGATGTAGCACAGTGATCCCTGCGGAGCAGTGACACGTATCCTTTAAACCTCTGCCTTCCTTGCCTGCTCCTTATGCAAAACTGTTCTTTTGATTCTTGGCTGTGTGAGGATAGTTTGGTTGGCAGGGTCTGGAAGAATGGTCAGCCCTTGCTAGCAGTTCGTGGACAGCAGCAAACCATTCTCCTGGCAAAGACTACTGTTACTGCAGCCTCCTATTCTGCCTGTACTCCCCCAAGTCTCCAGCTTCTCTGTGTAGTCATCTTTCTGCTCGTGGCACTGCTTATTTTGCTGAACTGTTGGGCTGGACCTCAGAAAGCTTTGGAAGCCTTTCTGTGGCCTAAATCAGTGATTCCCAGCAGCACCAATGTTTTTATATGTACTTAATTTTAAAATATATTTTTGTTTGTATATCTATATACATCTATATGTGTGCATTTATGCATCATAATGTGCCAAGCAGTTTGGAGTTCAAAGTTACATGAGCTGTTCTAAGGTTTTTGTTGCAGCTTCGTTGCACATCCACATACACCTGGCATCAAATACAGAGCTGAGCAGGTAAATCAGTACAGCACAGATGAAAAAAAGCATTGTCGCGCCTGGGAAAAGCTTTTTGTGCTTAGAAAAAGTACATGTGGGAGAACTTTGAGACCATTTTTCATTCTGTCAGAATTCCTTGCTGCTTTGTTGATTTGCAAACTTCAGTCATAGCTGTGAGTAATAAGTGCATGGGATGGAGCTGCACCAGGCGTCCGGCCATGGAGAACCATTTGGAGTGCTGTGATCTTGGCTTTAGATTCAAATCTTGTCTCTTAGTGGAAAATGAGAAACTTAAGTCTGAATTGGTTAACCAGTTGGCTACCTTGTTTAGTTAGATAGACTTCTCTAAACCATTTCTACTGGCAGTAATGCAAATACTCTTTGTTCTAGAAGGAAGATACCATCTTGAAAGAAAAGGATAGAAGAATAAGTTCTTTAGTAGGCATCTATTTGTGCTTGTAAAACTTAATTTATTCTGAATCAAATATTCAAGCTCACCTAACTAAAACAGTTGAAATTGAAACTTCAAAGTAAACTTGTTCTTAACCTCACTGAGGAAGGAAAACCAGTTCAAGATATAAATAAAATTAAAATTACTAAATCAGAACTGCCTGTTTTAATGCATATTGGAACATCTCTCTTCTGCTGAACTTAACTGCAGTACAGCATCCTTGCCTTCTTACAACTACTGAACATGGAGAGAGGCTTTAGCTTTACTGTTTACAGAGCACCTTACTTAATTCTCATAATTTGGGTGTTGTGCTTCCACATGGCTGCAGTAAGTCTTCATTTCCCTGTACGGTCTACGCACGTGTACCACGTGAGTGTGTCAAAACTCTTTGCACTGTAAAGCCTGAATGTTGAAGGGTTGCTTCAGGATTGTTATCTCAGGCTTGCTTTTCCTTATGAAGGTTTAAAACCAAAACTGACAGACGTGAAAAACCCCGCCATAAACCAACAAAAAACCTCCACCTGGGGAAGGCAGACAAGCCTTCGGCAGCTCTTCCTTTTCCAGCTGTGGCAGAGGCAAACACCTCCTCTTCTCCTTTGCCCATTTTTAGTAGCCTAGACTGTCCCAACAAAAGCTGTTCTTCACTGTGTACCTGCCGTGAAATAGAAATCCTTCTCCAATTGTTTGCATCACAGTAGCAGATTGTCTGTTTATTTTTTTAGCAATCAGAAATGGATTTTGGTATTCACCTTACGAAAACAAAAACTCAAGATTCTGGTAGGAACCACGAGCAGCAAGAGGAGGAGACCAGTCTCACAAGTACCTTGGAACATATTATGGGTCAGCTGGATGTTCTGACACAGGTATGGTTTGCTTTTTAATTTTGCAGTGAAAAAGGTACCTCTGACTGGAAGAATCTGGAATATTTTGCAGTAGTTTCATAGAATAAAAGTGTGGCTATTTCAAAACCTCTTCTTTTTAGCAGTTTTTTGCTAAATGTCTTCATCTGCTTGTCAGCTTAGATCTGTCAGTCCCCTCACATCAGCTTCCAGCTCAGGCCCTGCTTTTCCCCTGATTCCTTTACACTGCAGTGTAGCAGAGCACTCCTTGAGCCAGCTCTGCTACCCTGTGCTGTTAGCCACAGTTTATCTAAGGTTATGCCTAAAGGAGTGGTTGGCAGTAGGACTCTGTTTTGGTGAGTAATCTCTCTCTCTTCCCTCCCCCACTATACTGCAGTCTATAGGTAAGCTCTGTTCAGATCCTGCTCCTTTCCCCCACCCAACATTCACCTACACAGTCCAATTTCTGCAGCATTCTCCTCCCATCAACAAGTCTGGGCCCTTCTGTGCCTCATCTCTGAAACATGCTTCTCACCCACAGCTAGTGAACAACTAATCCCTTGCTAAAGCATTAACATGCAGTTCTTCCAGAGTCCCTAAGCAGTGCTTGAACAGTACCAACTGTTAATGGTGATCATCACAGCATGTGTTTACTTAATAAGAATTTGGAAATAGAGCTGTTTTTTGCTTAAATAGCTGCTTATTGCTCCTGTGAAGAAATACCACTTATGATCATTGTTGGGGGCTGAATTTAATTGTGTATTTTTGAGGTATGAGAGAATTGGGGCGAAAGCATGGGATAGTAAACACTGGTGATCTCCTGAAGATGAAACCATGTTTGTCGGATGGAAAAATCCATGTGGGTGGGTTTTTCTGTGCACTTGAGGGCTGGTTCTGAGAAGAACAAGCAGGTCTTGAACACTTGGTATTGAACGTACAGATGACTAGTCCAAGTTAGCTCTGTTCTGAAGAAGTACCTGTCAAAAAGCATTAAGATAAGGGGTTGGGTGGGCACATCAGGACATTGAAGTAGGGCTGATTTAAGGATTAAAAAACATTCCAGGACCACAGGCAGTCTTAAAATAGTGTAGGGTGAAAACCAAAAGATATTTTAAGTTCATTTGGCAGAAATGCAAGAAAGCACTTTTCCTGTGATCTCTAAAATGCTGAACGCTGGAGGTAGGGGCAAAATTTTTGTATGACTTTGGGTCCTCATGCATGTGAATAAGATGTGACCCAGTGTATACACAAAATATTTGATTACTGTTTTTACGTCTCCATAGTAAGTTTGAAATGTGATTGTTATCTTTCATTACATAAATCAGATCCACGCTTCTGATGATGGATGTGTGATGGCTCCCTTTCAACTTCAGAGGTGTTTAGAGGAGACAAATGTTGCAGTAAACAGTATGTGTGAGATTTAAACTAGATACAAGCATTGCAAACATCTCTCTCAAAGATAGTGTTTAACTGTAGAAAATTCCAAATGTTGTTTTAAACCTAGCAGAAAGAGAAATTGAGATCTGTGAGGGAGGAATAAATTAGTAGGTCATAGGATAAAATTGGAAATAGGCCTGAAATTATAGTAAAATACCCCAAAAATCTGCCTTGAATAACTCGGTGTTCAGCAACCTTTTACCTTTCTTTTTTCACCTTTTTTTTTTTCCATTCTTGAAGTATTTAATTTCCCATTGGTTTTAATCTTTGTATGTTGTATTTTGTATTAATGCTATTTTAATGCATTTGTACAAGTAGATGTTCCTGACATGCTGTTGAAATGGTTTCAGAATTCTTCATTTTCATGCCAAGGTTTTGATATTTAGCAGTGAAATAAAACACCACCAAACAAACTTAAGCAAATGGCTCTGGAAGAAGTCCTCATTCCTAGTGTAAGAGAGAAGTTCCTCAAAGAGGAGAGATGCAGGCAGACAGCAAGGCAGGGCCACGGAGGGTAACTCTGGAGAACATCTGCTTGCAAAGCTAAACTTGGTTATTCCAGTGCTGATGGCCTGTAACAGAAGTGTGACTGCAGCTCTGGCAGAGCCACTGTTACCCCTCTTTCATGCAGTTCAATGGAGAGCAGGAGGAGCCATGGTGTGCTGATGGCCAGCAGAGATCCAAGTGAGATGGAGGCAGCAGCTGGTGGTGTTGGGTTGGTTATCTTTCCAGCCATTTCTGCCATGGCACAACTGGGTGCTGCTCCCTGCACATGTCAGATTCAAACTAAGGTTATGTGCTTTATGGGGCAGCTTTGGGCCTGCTGACCTCTTTGTGAAAGGAGGAGACCACTAAACACTGAAATCCTCAGAAAAGGAACAGAAGGCTTTCAGAAATAATGCATAACAGGTGTTGGTGTCTTCCCTTTCTTGAAGAAGGGTTGATGATGCTCCTGGTGCTCTGTTATTAGTCATTGGTTCATCATTCCTGAGTGTTGCTTCAAGAGAAGACTAGTGGCATAAGCAGGGTCATACAGTTGAAAGGAAAGGACAGAGTCCCCGTGGTATTTCCAGAAGCCCTCTGATATGACCATCCGGGAGTTTTTCAGGAATTTCTCAGTCGTTAGCTCCGTGGGAGCTTGGGTGTATTTCTGCTGTGGTACCTCGAGCTCCTGCGCTCTTTGCACTTGTTGTGGTTTCCAACACTGTGTTAACATGCTGTAATGCACCAGTGGGGAAAACTTCAAGTTCTGGGAATTGATGTAAACAGAAACCTTGTTTATTTTCCTAATACTGTTTTCTATAGTTATTTCAAGGTTTATCACGCTAAACCTGGCATCGTGTAAAAGCAGGAAGGAGACAAAACTCAATTTCTGCTGCAGGAGGTAATAGTAAGACATCAGCTGAAGGCTGTTGTGTCTTGCCAGGGCACAGCTTTGTTCAGGCTTGCACACTATCAGAACCTTCCCTCTGTTGACAACAGATTTCCAGACAAAGTGGGGTGTCATATACTTGGAGACAGCGGGATTGTTTTTATTCCATTAGGAGGTCTCTTTGTGCCAGACACTGATGGCAAGTAAAACACTGAGATTAGGGAAATGTTGGAATGAAGGCTGGACTTGATGATCCTAGAGGTCCTTTCCAACCGTAGTGATTCTATTCTATGACTCTAGGACATGGCTCCTCAGATTTACAAACTTCATTTTTATGTTGTTGACTTTGTGCTATGATTTTACTCTTTAAGGTTTTGGCAACTTTACTTAAACTGATCTTTGATTCAATGAAACCTTCCTCTCTTCCTCCTCACCAGAGCTCTTGTCAGGACATCTTTGTTTTACTTGTAAGGAAGTGGTCTAATGTGACCTGATGGGGTGGTCTTATTTTTTTCTAAATAAGGTTTGTGTCTGGCCATACTCCACATGTAAGTGAAGAAGATCATGTTTGACTGCCTTTTTCAGAAGAGTAGCACATGCTTAATAGTTCTGCTGCCTTGAAGGATAGAGTGAAGTTGAGATCCAGACATAAGCCAGTTATTCCCAGTAGCTTTGATTACTTAAAGATACCCTGGTGCCCCTTTGTAGGAAAGCAAGCAATTCATATCTGGCAAAGGAATGAGGAAGATGAGAGTAATAATGTATGATATACATTTACTCCTCCGTTTCCTGCAGCTTAGTATCTTGTCAGTGTGTCAGCACCTAAAAATCCTGTTCTTTACTGGCTTTCCAGAGACATGAAAAGGAGGAAAATGCAAAAACGTTTAGAAATGTTATTATTTTTTTTATTTAAGGCTGAATCTCAGCATCTCAGTGCCTATAGGAAGAATGGGGTTGAAATTCATATTTATGGGGGGGAAACCTGTGATTTTTATCTCTTGGATAATTTCCTGGAACAGAAAGGTATGTTTTGGCTGAAACAAAAATGGAGCAGATATTAAGAGTTTACTTGGTTCAAAAGCATTTTCTGTATTTGCAGCTGAGCTGCATTCCTGAAAGATCATCTGTGATGACCATCTTGGCTGCAGTGACAAAGTTGCATTTGCAATGATGGTCTTCAGAGGGTTCGTATGCTCTTGCCCTCACTCCAGATGCCTGCAGTTGCCATGTTCACTCTGTCATTCTGTTACACTGGTGGGCAACGGGCACCAGGGCAAAAGCTGCTGGTTTTATGTGGGAAGGAAGATGTCTGCTCCAAAGAGTTCAGAATCAGGTTAGCATAAAAATTCGTAAATAGCTGCAATAATCAGTAATCCACCCCCAGGAAACAGCTTTATATACTTCCCCAAACTAATCTTGCACTGAAGCTGGGAGGAAACAACACAGTGAAATGGAGAAGACTTGATAAATCTGTAAAATAATCCAAGCCTGAACAGAAGGACAATCTAGCTCATGTGAGATTAAAGGATTATTTCACTCCAGAAAAGATTGCAGAGGGAGGAGAAGAATTTTTAAAATTAAATTCTTTAGCATAAATAAAGACTTGGACACAAGTGAGCTGCTTTTTAATTAAAATGGAAGATGTTTGTGTGCAGTCCGTGTAACGAAAATGAGTAAAATCAAATTTGTTACTCCTTTTTTTGAGATGTCATCTTTAAAGCCTGTGATGGTGAGGAATGAATGTGACCCCCTTGTCTGAGAGGTACTGAATGTAGATGAAGCAACTGGTTTAGTGAAACAAATGCTTTTTTCTTCAGGTTGTTACAAATCAAAAAGAAAGATTTTTTTTTTTTCCAGGGGAGAATCGTAAGTGCTGGTACCTCTGCCTTGTGCAAGCATTTGCTTTCTACGTTGCTCTCAAGGCCTGAACATCCACTGGCTACAGATGGATCCGATACATAGGAGAAAAACTGCAAGCAGGTTTTATTCCAAAAGAAATGGCTTGAAATCCAAAATACTAATAAAACCAGTTCCCATCTGAAAAATCTGTGAAATGCCAGATGAGCTTGGGTTTTGAATCTTTATTTGAAGGATATAGGCCATTTCTCATGAGTCAAAACCATCTTGTGGAGATGCGGTAACTTTGATCTCTCACTCAAAACAAATGAAATATCCTGGTTGTTGCTAATACACAGTCCTCTGTGTAATATCGTCAGAGTTACTTTTTTCTGAAGTTCACTTCCAAAATATGCTTGTAACAAAATCTCCAAGTCTTGATGTTAATACATTTTTCTTGCTAAAACAGACTAAATTTAATGCACTCCTAGGGATATTGTTCTATTAGCAGGACACTGTCTGAAGGCTGGCTTCTCAAAAGTGCTGATCGTCTCCCTGGAGGTCCTCAGGACCTCTACCCTCCATTATTCTTCAATAGGCAGGATGCTAATCACATCCCACTGTTTGTTTTCACAAGCAGACCTTAAAGATTAATAAAAATGTTAATTGGCCATTGGGTACCAGCAGCTGGGTTAATTTCGCTGCATCATTTGTGTCCTTTCAGAGGCAGATTGGGTGGCAGGGGAAGGTATGAGAAGTCTCTGTGGTTGGGGGAGACCTCTAGTCATTTAGGGTTCTGGCCTCTGGATTGTGCAGTTGCACTTTAACATGCCAGTACCCTGAGAGAGTGATGGGGTCTTTTTTAGCATATGCTTAAGAAAACTGGTGGAGCCAACTTCTGAGAATCTTTTTATTGAAGTAAAGCTAGGAAACTACTTTTGCATTCTTTGAGATCAATGGAGAGGGATTTTATGTAACAAAATGGTGACACGAATAGAAATGCACATGTAATACTTTGCCCCCACATAGCCAGGAGCATATCTACTCTGCCATTGGTGTGCAGGATCATATCCCTTGTAGGCTCAGCCAAGCTGTTGTTACCTGATCTGAGTAAGTGTGTATCAGTACATGGGGTTTTTTGGGGTCCCACAATTACCAGTGGTATCAGAGCAGTGTTGTGTCCCCCGTGCTATTCGGTGTGCTCAGTCCATTAAACCCACTGGGAGTGGCATACTGGAGAATCTGCGTGCTGCTCGCAGAGCGGGAGCTGCACCTTTCTGCTTGTAGAGCAGGCGGCTTTAGCGACCTGGGCGTGGGTCTCTTCTCCCCTCAGGGAAGGAGAGGAAGAGAGGAAATGGCCTAAAGTCACACCAGGGGAGGTTTAGATTGGATATTAGGAAAAAGCCCTTCCCTGGAGGCATTTAAAAGACGTGGAGATGCGGTGCTTTGAGACGTGGTTTAGTGGTGACCTAGGAGTGCTGAGTTAATGGTTGAACTTGATGGTCTTGAAGGTCTCTTCCAACCAAATGATTCTATGATCTCCCTCTCCTGGTAGGGATTCCCACCACTGCTCCAGAGGGTTGCTGACTGCCTCTGCTTGCTTGCTCTGAACTCGGCTTTTCAAGCTGCTTTTCGCAGTGGTAGAACTGGCCTCTGTTGGCATTCACTGGACCAACCTGATTCCCCATATCTATAGTCCCCAGAAGAGGCAGGACCGATCACCCCTCTCTGGTTGCTGCAAAAGCCCCAGCCCTGAGGCTAGTGGTTCTTCAGCTGTCTGAGCTCCTTAATCAGGGAAATGCCTAACAGGGACTAGGGATAGGATACTGATAAAAGCATCTTGGAACAGCATCACAAATCACTACTATTTGGGTTGAGGTAGTAAAAACGTGGAGGAATAGCACAGGGGGCTTATCATCACATCAGAAAGTGTGACTACTGAGTGCTTCAGTTTAGGTGTCCTGAGGGAGGATGAAGGTGAATATTCTTCCAGACTTCTAGTAAATAGGAGGCAACTGGTTTTTGCTACTTAGTTTCTCATTAATATTTCCAAAGAGAAGAGCAGCTTTTTTTTCAAGGCTAAGCTTGTGAAAGTGAATGAAGACAAATGTTGTAGGAAATCTTGGTAGAAGTGATTATGTTTTCTTTTGTGTGAAAAATTTAATATTCTGTAATTCAGGGTATAGTACTGTAATATCAGAAATACTCCTTAAAATTTGATCTTCTCATTTAAGTCTAAACTGTTATCCTGCTACAAGTTTGAGCCAGGACTTGAATAAATTGTCCAGGATTTACTCCCTGTGCGTAGTGGAGACGTGCACTGTGCTCCTGACACAACAGGAAGCCCAGATCCTGCCGCAGAGAAATGTCTGGAGTGCAAATGTGGCTCCAGTGGATCCTCACTGGATCTGGCTAACAGTATTTTTCTCTAGGCTTAATTGTTGGTTTGCTATCCTCTGAAAAGCAATAGCAAAACCGTGCAGGAGTTGAATGGGTGAAGCTCAATTTGCCTACCAACAAGGACTTGTGCTTTATAAATAGCAACCTGGAAATGTTGTAAAACTCTGTCAGCTGCTAATAAAGGAGAGTTTCTTTTATGTGTAAGGTACAATATAGCACTAACAGCAGTTGGGCAGTAGTTGTGCTTTCCCTTACCTTTCTGGGCTGTCAGGTGCCCTGTGTATTTTGGGCATCATCTATCCAAGTCTAAGTGGACTGTAGTCATCAGCTCCTATTTTGGACTTCCTGGATTTCATTTCTGACTGCTACTTTTCCACCTCTAGTTTCCAAAAAATACTCACTACAAGCTTTCTGCTTATACTTACTTGCAATTTCCATTCCAATAAACATTTTCCTTCCAGCTTTTGCACAAATTCAGCGCTTTCTGAGACCTGCTTTCCTTGTGCTTAGTCTCAGTGTGCCATGTACAATGGCACTTAACTCGGCAGGATTGTGGTGGCAGTAAATCATGGGATGTAGGAGCTGCAGGTTATCTGGGGCTTTGCTTCTAGCAGGGCAGTGTGACCAGGACATTAATCCAGTTGATTATCTTTTGAAAGGAAATTTGATGTAATGTTTCACCCTCTCTTCTTAACACAGTCTTGACTTACTAGTTCTCTTTTCTTAAATGGAAAAGCCAGGATCCCCACTGCTTTTCATTCTCTTGTCTGGTTGCTTGCAGGATGAGATCTTTGCTGTAAACCTCTGCTAGACATTCAGCCTGCTGTGTTCTGCCCTGTGTAGCTTTACTCCTGACCTCTGTAAGACAGTCACTAGGCAATAGCATGGCTGGGTACAAAAAAGATGAAATCCTCTCTCCTTTGAATAGACAGGAGGGCTCCTGCTGGCTCTGGGGCACCTGGGATGTTACCTGCTGGCTCAATAACTTTTTTTCTGGTTCTCTGTGTACTACACTCCTTGTGCCTCAAAGGGGTGGCGAGAGAGGAGGAAAAAAACTGAAATGGAGCTAGTGCTGTAGCCCACAGGAATGTTCAAGCAGTGCAGGGGGTTTTCTTCCTGGTGAAGCTCTCTACAGTCAGGAATTGGATCTTCTGCCTTGTCACAGCTCAGCAGGGCCTGTGCAGTAGAAATGAACTGTGAGCTATGTTTGGGGAGGGGAAAAAGGGCGCCTTATGGTAAACGTTGGAATGCACAGCCCTTTCTGACTTGGGTATGTGACCTGGCAAGGTGGCTTTGCCATAGTGCTCGGTGCTCTTACTACATCTGTTTTCTCTTCCCCTCCACCATTCATCTCGTTCCCAAAATTACTTTACGGGAGACTTTTCCTAGTCTCAAGTGGCCTTAGCCAAGCTATTTCCTCTCCTTTTGCTTTTGTTTCCCCAGCTGTAAAATGGGGATAATGAGACCTGCTTTCTTTTGTCAGGCACTTGGAGATGTGCTTACGAAATGCGCTATTAAAAGGCTTTCTATGTATAACTTCTATAAAACAGCGGTTGTCCAAGTTTATTTGAATTACTTTAATAAAGTCCAAGGTTCTGAACATCCTTTGTTTTTAACAGAGGATGTTATTTATGCAGCAGAAGTGCTCAAAATGTGAAGCTATTGATTGTTGCTGATAAGTTTATGGATATTATGGATATTAAAGCATTAAATCATCACTGCCTATTATCAGCTGTTCCGGTGTCTTTGGAAGCTGAAAGTGGTTCTGCATAGCTGGGTCCCTTGGTTACCTCAGAGTGATCAATAAAAGGTTTTCAGCAGAAGCTTTTATTGCCACGTGATTAAGATGTTCTTCCTGTGCATCCTGTACATGATGACTTCAGCTCGAGGAGAAAGATATAACAATCCTTTCTGGGGTAACTGGATTACACAGAAATATTTAGGCATTATGTTGAGGTAGATATTAGCGCTTTGGGTTTCAATTCCCCCCATTGCCCATTGCACTGCCTTATGCTGGGAGGGTTTTCTTGCCTGTCATTGTCCTTGGCCAGCAAGTTTTGTGTTTGAATTGTAGCAGACCGGTGGCATTCAGGGAAGGGAGGAAAGAGTCAGAAGTGGAGAGGCAAAATCAAAACTAAAACTGGGCAAAGCTGCTCAAAACATCTCTCTCCTGTCAGCAGAAGAGTCCCTGGTGGCTCATGAGCATGGAAGGACAGAACCTCTCCATGAAAGGAAACACAAAGCCCAATCTGAAAGCACCAAGTACCAGCATGGATGCTCAGTGTTGTTTTCAGGAGAGCTTTGTGCCCACCAGCCTTTGTTGCTCCTCTCTGAAGTCACATGGGGCTCTGCCCTCCTAGAATGCTGACATGGGAGTTACAGTCCTGAAGTACCTCAGAACACTCCTATGAATTTCACATTCTGTTGTCTGCTGAGTACAGTGCGTAGCTTGTCTTTGTGAGCAGCTCAACAGCAGCTTTCATTTTGTTTTGCAGACAGTTTCCATCCTGGAGCAGAGGCTGACACTCACTGAAGACAAGCTGAAGGAATGTCTTGAGAATCAGCAGAAAATAATTCAGAGCAAAATGAGCTGATTTCCTGAGAGAAGACAGGAGCCAAAGGCGTTGGGAGGTTTGAGGTTGTTTGTTCCTTGCAGACTGTGACTTGCTTTAACGATTTTGAGCACAATCTGTTTTTCCAATTGAATGTACAGTTATTGTATCTGTAAATAAGCTTTGTTACTTTACTAAAATAAAAGGAATATTTTAGTCATAAGCGTGGATAACGATTGTGATCTCCTGTGTTTTCCAGAGGTACAGCAGCCAGCGTGTGGTCTGAGTACTAACTAGGAAGGTTGCATCTCTCCCACCTTTGGTGCTGCTGAGTTAGTTTTAAAACATTTCAGAATCTTGGAGTTGCCACGTGTTTGGCACAAGCTGTATTAGGCTTGTTGCTGAGGCGAGTGCTGGCTGCAGGTGACAAGTGAAGAGCTCCCAGGATATTTTGGGCAGTGAGAGGTCACCGGTGTTCTCAGACCATAGTGAGCAGGTGAAGTCCCAGTGCAGCTGGAGCTTAGAGAAGGGTCTGTCTCGCCAAAGTCCCAGAAGGTCCCTGACAAAGAGCAGTTCAGCCCTTGGATGGGGCTTGTGCAGAGGTGATTAAATCCCGTGGTGGGATTTAACCTGATCCCTTGTGAAACGTGTGAAAGCACTTGCTTGAGGCTGGACAAGAGGCCCTGGTGAGTCAGATGCAGGGAGGATTTCAAGTGGAGTCTGCTTCTCAAATTAAAAGCAGGGCAGAAGGAAAGGCAACCAAACAGCAGAATGTCTGCTCTGTTGTGGAACTTCCCTCTTCACAACAGACTGCCTTTAATTTTCGGTCATTTTGCAGATGTTTTCACAGTTGACTAGCTCATCACTCACACTTACACTCTCACCCTGCTCCCCTCATTGCTCCTCTTGACTTTTTCAGGGCTTTAGCAGGTGTTCAGTATGTAGCTGCACAAGAATTTGGACTTCTGGGAGATCCTGTTCTCCAGCACCTCTTCTGCTAACACACGCTTGGAGGTCTCCTTTCTTGCAATAAACTATTACCCACATTCCTGGAGAAATGAGCTGCGGGAACTTGAGCACCGGGGGCTAATGAAACCCTCCTCCTCGCTCTGACCTCTTCAAGCAGGGAGGCTGCCTCAGTCCCTGCCCGTGGTGGTCCCTCCTGCTGCCACCACCTGCCAGCCTCGCACAGCTTCCAAGGCCCCCGTCTCCAGATGTGCTGTGGGCATTCCAGACGCTTGCCTGAGGGTTGGCTGGCATCCTTAATTCACATGGGGTTTAGCAGATTTTAAGGCCAGCCCATGTGTTTTGGCTTTGGTTTTGGGTTTGGTTTTTTTTTGCACCTGTTTCTGTTGCAGACTGTGTCTGCTGATACAGTGTTAATACTCCTCATCCCTCATGGGTGAAGCTGTTTGCATTCCCCTGCCATCAGCAGGCAGCTTCTGGTCTCCTTCCCTCCTGGTACTTTCTACATCTCTAATAACCCCTTGCTGGCACTATTACAATATTTCACTCTTTCACTTGAGGGAGGCTGAGTGCTTTCTCATTTCCATGCTTATTGGGTTGATTATAAATCTGAGTTTCTCTCTGCTCTGCCACAGACTGTTTGTTTTCTGTTTCCAAGCTCCAAGTCTGATAAATCATTATTTTCTCTTAGATTACACTAATGGAATCAATTCAGTGATATTCTTCCATGCTCTCGCTGTAAGCTTTCAGCGGCTCTCTGTGGAGAGGCTGACATCATTTTCATTGAAATGAGCTTCTGTTGTGATGCGTCTGGGTGGGGAGGAGGGGACTCAAAGGTACATGTGGCCAATTTGCTGCTAGGAGAAGGCCGTTCCTGCCCTGTTCTGCTGCTGAAGCAATGGCAAAAATGGATTGTAAGAGCCTAATTTATCAACTTGATCCCCGATGTTGTGGACTGGCCTTTGGGGCGGAGGTGTGGAGGGGAGAAGAAAATTTAAGCTCTTCTAACATTCATCAGTTTTTAAGCTTCACTTTAAAAATAGCCTTTGGTTCCTTTTAATGTGTAGTTTCTAATATCTTAGAGACCGCAGAAGCTATTTGTCTATAGTGTTCTAGGGAAAATGGCAATACAAATGACTTGGGCACATCTGATACAAACACTGTTTCCTTTCAGGTGTTCTGAGTGAATCCATTTGAAAGCTCTAATTGTGCTTCTAAAGCAGATGAGATGCTCAGGTGCTGAAGGGCAAGCCAGTGGGATGAGGGAAAGTTACTTTTCTGGACTCAACTTCCTAAAAGCACTTGTTGGATCAATACAATGTGTTGTGGAGCTAACTCGGTGTGTAGGTGGGAGGAGAGGGAATCTAACGACCTCTGTATGATTTGGGTGGCAGGAAAGGTAATCTGAAAGGAATTTCTTCTGTCAGTACTCTCCAGTCTCAGTCGCTTCCTTGTCCCCAGTCTTGGTGATTTGCTCTCTCTCCATTTCCTCTCCTTGCAGCCTCTGACCTGGGGTAGGATGTCAGGACTTAAAACACACCAGCACTTCTCAAAGGTGGCTATAGCTTAAGAGGCAGACAAGATGTGGAAAATACAAGATTTAAATTACAACCCTTGTGCTTAGTTGAGCAATAACCTCAAAAAAACATCAGAGGAGCCCAAATCCTACTGCTTGTCTTACCCCTAGGCTCCATGCTTCACTCTCTCTACTAAGCACCACGGGTTTGGAGCCACTGAGGAGAGAGTAGCCTCCAGAGTCAGTTAAATCCACCTCTTTTTCTACACTCATTTTTTTTTTTTTTTTTTTTGACTTGGGAATATCTGCAGCGGCTGACTTGTGAAGCTGTTAACTCAGGGAGTAGTGGAGCAGCCCAGTGAAGAGGAGCATGTTGTCTGTACTTGGGTTGACACCGTTTCTACGCCATGTGAGGATAAACCCTCCCTTGAAAACAGCTTGTGGTGATATCTCTGCATGGGGAGGCTACAAAGAGTTAAAGGTTTTGTTTTGGATCTCCAAGGCACACTTGGAGCCAAGTTCTTAAAAAAGTAGTTTAATTTGTTGCCATTACGTTTGCCAGACGTATGACCTCACTAAACTTTTAGCAACAGTTCTTTGTGCCGAGATTGGCCCCTGGGGAGCCTGGCGCTGCTGCAAATGGCTTTTTGGCTGCTACAAGCGTGGAGCACGTTAAACATAACCGTGATCTGTGAAAAAATAAGAATCTGCAAGCACTGCCCACTTTCCTTCCTGTCTGGGAGCTGGAATTGGATGGATACCACAGGAAAGCTCAGAACTGAATAGGCAAAGATGCCAGAGCTCTGTGGTGGGGACTCTTCTGGCCAGTAACATCCTCTGCCCACAGGGTCATCCCTGGACCTGAGTCCACCAGCTAACTAGAAAATAGAACCCAACTAGGATCTAAATAGCTGGGCTAAAGCTAGCCAGCCTCGTGGTGCAAATCACTTATTATATAACCTCTCTAAAGAGCTGCTTTTGAACAAAATGTTTTTTGAAACATGAGTGAGTAGGAGGGCAGGGAAGCGCATCTCTTTGGGAAGGTTTGTCACTTGTGACGTGAGAGCCGCGCTGCCTTTCTGCTCCTGCTTTTAGACACGCTTGGGCTCCAGGCGCTTCTCGGGTGGTGTGACCTGATCAGCTCTAGTTTTGGGGAGGAGATGTGATGGAAAAGAAGATTCTCTTATTTGATGCTCATCTGTGTATTTAACCTGGATTTGGCGTGCTGTCTGCACTGAAATGTGTGTTTCCGGGAAAGCTGGGCTCTATTTCTAGCTCTGCAATGGAGCTGCCACAGCAGGCCAGCATCACTCTTCAACCCCCTCCTCTCCTTGCAAGGGGAGATGCATGTAAATTTGTTCCTCTATCGAGGTACAGGTTCTGGGCTTGAGGAGCCTGTTGGAGATGGGAATGTTATGTGTGATGGGAAGAGAGAGGTGGGCTCACTTCCAGAACGCAGGTCTCAAGCATACTTTCCTGTCTCCTTGTAGCACAGCATCCAGTGCTGCCAGGGGACGTGTGCTGAGCACCTCTCTGCTACTCAGCATGAGTGATAGCTGATACCTGGGGCTTCAGGGGGAGCCTGAAGTTAACTGACATGGCTTCTGAGCAGAGATCAGGAGTCCGGGCTTACATCAGCATGTTGGGAGAGGGTGCTGAAGGGTGGTTTCTGGTGAGAGATGAGCAGCTTGAACAACTGGGGATGTTCTGGCAGAGGGTAACTCATTGTCTGCTTAGCTGTAGCTGAGGCGGGCCAGGTGACCACTGCCAGAGGCCATGAATTTGCCATCTGCAAGGAAGCCTTTCCCCAGTGGCCACGCTTAGCTCGCTTTACACTCTCTCCAGCCCTTCCTCCCTGATAACACAGTACAGCTGGAAACACCATTCTCTTGTCACAGAACAGTTAGGATGAATCAGCGCCATGACCCACTGCCCAAAACCTGTCACCTCGGCTCTCCTTTGCTGCTTCCGCTGCCTGCGGGCACCTTCCATGCAGCTAAGGCCTGGCTGCTGCCCCGGGCGCCGGCCCAGCCGAGGAGGTGATGGTGCTCTGCGTGGCACAGCCGCTTGGCTCCGGGTGTGCGGCGAGCAGTGCTGCAGGGCTCATCCCGCTTGCTCCTGGGCCCCGCGGCTGTGGCGGGTCGCTGCTCTTGCAGCTGGTGACTGAAAAGGTTAAGCCAAGTAGCTGCCTGGACAGAGCTCCTGCACGGCCTCACTTCTCTCTCAGGTGGCTGCTCTCGGCCATTTTTCCATTGTGACGCTTGCAGAGCCCTGCTGAAGGCCCGGAAGAGCTGGCTTTTGCTGTGCAGATGTCCCAGCTGGAGGAAGAACTTCACTGCTCAGCTGAAGTGGGCAGATCTTATGGGCCCTCCCAGCTTGTGAGCGTGCTGGGCATCATGAGATCCTCCCAGGAGAACCTCTTCACAGCACGATCCCGGTGGGGTGTCTTTGCTTTTCCCCTTCTGTGAATCTATGCCCCGCGTAGATGGTGCTGCTGCCTGCCTGCTTCTGTGCTTGGGCCATATGGAGCAGCAGGCACCCTGTGCTCACCAGAGTTAAC